GGACTGAATTCACACTATTTCTGGCAGTCTGCAACCCCCCTTAGTAAGCTTTCATTACAAGGTACTGGATATACATTTACTTCAACGTATATCATAATTTTAATGCTTGATAGAATTTAATTCTTACTATTTGTAAGTATTTTTATGCCACTTTCCCATCACATTTGTAGTGCAGTTTATTAAAATAATAAATCAGTTAAAATGTAAATAAAAAAAGATAATTACATTAAATGCTTGAAAAGTTCCTATTAGTATATGCTGACTAGGTGAGCGATAGATAACTTCTATATTTTCAGTGGTCCTTATGTAGTTATTAATAATTTTTATTTAGGAAGTATGTTAATAAAAACAAGGAAATGTAGAAAAATATTTTCTGGATATCAGTCAAAGGAAGTTCATGATTCTGTAATATAATATCAGTTTAGTTGATCTGAGATTATTACAATTATATCTCAGTTAATGAAATAGATGTGTTACAGATTGAGTGTCCATTATCCAGAATTCCAAAATCTGAAATATCCAAAATAAATTGTCCACATAGGTGGCTGAGACAGTGGTTCAATGGTGGCTCAGTGTAACAAACTTTGGTCCAAACACACTGCAGAAATAATCCAGTTTAAGACTGCTTTGACTGCCCTGGCTCAGTGCTAGGGAATCCTGGGAGTTGTAGTTTGTAGTGTCTGCAGCGCTCTCTGACAGAGAAGGCTAAATGTCTCACAAAACTATAGTTCCCAGAATTCCCGAGCATTGAGCAAGAGCAGTTAAAGCGGTCTCAAACTGGATTTTTTCTGCAGTGTGTTTTGGACCTTTGTTTCATGCTCAAAATTATTTAAAGTATTGTGAATAATACCACCTTCAGGCTATGTGTAAAAGTATATGAAACGTAAATGAATTTCATGTTTGGACTTGGGTCCCATCTCTAAGATACCTCATTATGTATACACAAATATTGCAAAATCGGAAAAACTCCAAAATCCAAAACACTTCTGGTCCAAAGTATTTTGGATAGGAAGTACTCAGCCTGTAGTTCTATAACAGAAAATTTCTTATGAGTTGTAGAAATAAGATGGAAAGAATAGGGATAGGTTTCTGCACCACATTAAATAAATGCAGTTTACATTCAGTAAATTTTCCATGTGCACATGTGAAGTTAAACACCAGGTCAGGTTAGCCTTGTATAAGTTAACAAAAAAACATTTCAAACCTTCAAATCTCTACTCAGTTTATGGCAACCCCATGAATTTCACAGGGTTTTCTTTGGCAAGGAATATTAAAATTTAATACTGCCTGGGGGGGCTGGATTTGGTCCAGCAGTTTCCTAGATGTGGGTTATAAATTTGCCAAGAAGGACCTATATATGGAGATATAAAATGACAGGAAGATTATTTCTTCCTTTGGATTTTGTTTGGTTTCCTTCTGTTTGTGAATCAGAGAGAAATGGACAAGCTAGACTGTATGGCAAAGAAACTTTCTGGTTTCTCAAGGTCTGTGGTTGCTGTATGCTATGGGAGTTCAACATGAGCTGTTCTTGATTCTCTCCCTTAATTGTCATCTTTTCACCACATGATGGTGCCATTTCCATCTGCTTGGATGTGAAATAATCATAATTACTTACCTGTTCTTGTGTACTTTCAATTCATTTCAGACATATGGATACTTTAAGATGAACCTATCACAGGGTTTTCTTGGCAGAATTTGTTCAGAGGTGGTTTGCTTTCCCCTGAAGCTGAGAGAGTATGACTTATCTAGGGTCACCCAGTGGGTTTCCATGGCTGAGCAGAGATTCGAACCGTGGTCTCCAGAATCATAGTTCAGTGCTCAAACCACTGCACCACACTGGCCCTCTAGCCAGCTGGAAAAATGATCATTTAATGATATTCTTGAGTATGTTTTTTGTTTTACTCTGTTGTAAAATAAGGAGTGATTGTTGTTTAAATGTAATGCACATTATGGATATTATTTCCAGATTCTTTTTTTCAGATGAGCTGAAAATAGAAGTTTAGGATTGCGACTTTAGGTCTGGATTGCAGCGTTGTTGCACTGTAACAGAAAACCATTTATATTGAAAACCAGAAAAAAAACTGATCAATAAAAAGAAAGTTTTAAAAGGAAGTTATCTCAGGAATTTTATATTAATGTGCATTTATGTGAGTACCATGAATTTTAGACCACTGTCGGTTTACAGTGCCTTAAAACACCTGTTTCTCTCAATATTGTGATTCAGTTCTGATTGTAGCACATTTCTGGAAAACCCGATGCAAAAGGTAAGTCTTTTTAATGTGGGAGAAGGGATGGAAACTCCAAATTGGGTCTGGGTGTTGTGTAAACAGCCCAGAGTCAGTTTGGGGGTTTGGAGCTGTGTAGTGTAAACAACCTGCAGCCAGCCTGGGAGGAATTTGGGATATATCATTAATGTAGACAAACCCAAAGTTGCTTTACTTATTTTCCATCACTTACATGCCTTCCAACTCCCCTGATCTGTGAGGAACAGTCCCAATCAATTCTCTATCATTCCACTTTTTCAGCTGCTTTTAAAATGCCCCAGTTTCTCTGTCCTCCTGCCACATTTCCTCTTTGTTGTAAGTTTACTTCCATTGATAGAGACTGAGTTCAAAGTGGAAAGGTAGTTTATACTCGATTAATTCAAGAAAGTGGAGAGGAGGGGGTGTTATCTTGTCCTTCCCAATAGTCTTGGACAAGAGCAAACTGCTGCAGCCTCTCCTAGGGCCTTTGCAGACTGCCAGAAATAGTGCAAATTGAGTCCACTTTTAGGGTTAGGGTTAGGGAATCATGGGAACTATAGTTTATTGTGGCACCAGAGCTCTCTGGCAGAGAAGGCTCAATGTCTCAGAAAAAAACAACAATTCCCATGATTCCCTAGCACTAACCCTAACCCTTAAAGTGGACTCAATTTGGACTATTTCTGGCAGTCTGCAAAGGCCCCTAGTTTATATGCTTTTTTTTCTCAGTAATAGTCCACTTTTGCCACCTTTACCACACTCTTATGTCAGCTACATATGTCAATGTTTTCATCTGTGAAATGTCAGAAGGTATATGCTGTTTGAGCAGAGCCATAGGCAGTTGTGGAATCTGAGTTTGATAATGATACTTTCTGGATTGCACTTCCCAGAATACTGCATGGGCTAGGTTGGCTAGGGGATTCTGGGAACTGTGGTCCCCAAAAGGACTTTTTCAAGCTCGCCATGAAGTGTGGTCCCTGAAGCCAAGGGTTGAAGGAGGAGATCCAAGGTGAGAATATGGAAAGACTATATCATTGTCCAAGCAAAGTCCTAGTTGAAACTTTCCACTTTGAACTCAGTCTTTATAGCTCATCCTGTTCAGGAGAACCAGTGGAGTGGGCAGAACCACTCCAGAACCTGGGAACCATTTGCTAAAGAGAGATGCTGCAGACCACTCTGCTGCCCCCAAAGAGTATGGAAACCAGAGTACTCCCAGGTCAATCTCTTTTCAGCCACAAAATGGATTGGACTAGTCACCCATTGTAAAACTCAGCTATAAGCTGTACTGAGTTCAGTGGGACATGTCCCCAGGTAAGTCTGAAGAATATAATACAGTATGCATACTCACTGGGGTATCTGGAGTTTGCCTGCACACTCTCACACATTGCAGATGAGCCAACAGATGTCCATATGGCAAGAACTGAACTTGTTGCTCCACTATGAATGTTCTGAACATACAGAAAGGGCTTATTCCAGTATGGAAATGGCAGCTTGTATTAAACAACTACAGTTGGCCCTCCATATCCACGGATTCCTTATCCATTGATTCAATCATCCATGGCTTGAAAATATTTTTTTAAAAATACATAAAATCCAAAAAACAAAATTTGATTTTGCCATTTTACCCCATCATTGTATTCAATTGGGCTTGAGCATCCATGGATTTTTATATCCATAGGGGATCCTGGAACCTAACCCTGGTGGATATGAAGCACCCACTGTATTATAGCAGGAGGCAACAGCATGTAAATGTCCTGAAAATGGGTGTTGTTTATGTGTCCTCTGGCCACACCTGATTCTTTTCCATGTTCTGCTTTTATTCTGGCAAACTGAGCAGGTGACAGGTATACTGTCCGTGGCTCCCATATACTTCTGACTCTATGAGATATCATCATGCTGCATGGAGGTTCATATAGCATTAAACGGGTTGAAGAATCATTAATGCACTTGAGGTGCTTAATTTTGCATTCAGGAATGGAAAACTGCCCTTATTTCAAATCTAAAACCATTTCCTCCTGCAACAATGTGTGGGTGTAAAGTGACATAATAAAGGGCCTACTTCACCTACTCTCATTAGTTTCAAGGCATCATCTGGGTTTTTAAAAAAAAAAGGCTTGACCTTGTTAATTCTGAATGGTCCTTCCGTAACAGCCTGTGGGAGCTGAGTAATATAGTAAAGAAGATATTTCTTGCAGTCTCATTAGTTTCAAGGCTACTTGGGAACCTTAATGGAGGTGGGAGGAGACACCTGACAGCAAAATACTCTCAACCACCTTGGCCTGTATGGTGTTAAGTAGTAGCTTGTGCTGGAAGGACATTAAGTTTGATGAGGCACCATTTTCTTTCTTGACTTTAAGACATGGACTGGATATTTAAGAGTGTGTGTCAGGATGGAGTCAAGAGCTGCTGGACTCCAGACAGGTAGTAACAGATCTTGGAAAAATCCCTCTTTTTTGGGACTACAACACCCAGTGTGCCACAGCCAGCATCACTGTGGCTTTCTGGGAGTTGTAGATGAAAAAAAGAGCTTTCTCAAGGACCAGTGGTGGAGCACAGGGCATGTATGCAGAATGGCTCCGATTCAGTCCCTGGCACCCATGTTAAAAAGGGACCAGCTAGCAGATGACCATGAAATAGTTATATTTGGAAAATCATGGCTAGTCAGATCAGATAACTCTCATTTTGACATGGAGAAAGACAGCTTAGCCTGCTCTGTGAGGAAGGTAGAACATGAGTTCAGTTGAGGAGGGGTCTGAGAGATGTTTGGTCTCTACCTAGATGATGGGTTCATGAGACAGAGGAGTCAAGCAAATGCTGGAATTTTATATGATTCCCTTGAATGAAATCCTATTGACTTCTTTAGTTACTTGACATATTGTTGGATTTGTAGTGACTCTAGACATCTAAAGTGTTGTTTTAGGCCAACATTTTCTTCTTCTTCCCACCCTCTCTGTTCCCATATTCCCTCATTCCACTTTTTCTTCATTACCATTCCTTCCGTTCCTCACTCTTCCCTTCCTTTTTCTGATTTCCAGCCCTTTCATCTTGCCTTTCCCAATCTCCTGTTTCTTTTGCTTCTAGCCTCTCTTCTAACAATGGAGGAGGTACTGGTGTTTCTTCTTGACCCCACTTTTCATGACTTCACTAACCACAGCTCCTGTTCCTGAGCCTGTACCACTGGTTGTGTCAACCTGCCCCAATTATTGTTAAAGTTGGGAAGAAAGAAGACAGTTCAGCAATTCCTTATATCTTTTAACAGCTGTAGAATTCAGAGGAATAGCCATATTCATCAGGTATATCAGTATGCAAAGGGATCTTGTAGCACGTTTGAGACTAACTGCGGAAGAAGTTGTAGCATAAGCTTTCATAGGCTTGGTCTACCTCAGGCACGTCTGAACATCTGGAATCCATAAGATGTTGCCATGGAATGCCATGGAATGATACCACTATAACTGTGTAGTGGCAAATGGCCTAGGGTCCACTGGTGGTTGCCTTGCCATGTTGAGAGGGCTGGCACAAGATGGTCTTGTCCTGAAGTGGGAGCAGCAAGTGGCATCCACATTTGCCCAACTCATAGTACCCTGCATAGTATCTCAGACCAGTCAAGAATTCAAAGACATAGCCCTGTTAGTCCAGAAAATCAGTATGCAAAGGGATCTTGTAGCAACTTTGAGACTAACTAAGGAAAGAAGCTGGTAGCATGAGCTTTTGTAGACTTGAGCCTACTTCCTCAGATTCATATTTAAAATAGTCAAGCTATTTTGGCACAAGAGGCAGAAAATTCCACAAGTACCTTGCTCCATCCCTGTTAATAAAAATATAGGTTGAATATCTGGAATTTTGAAATACAAAATACTCTGAAATCCAAAACATTTTTCATTGGCTGAGATAGTGACACTTTTGCTTTCTGATAGTTTGGTGTACATAAA